TGACTAACTTTTAACATTAAGTTTTTTATTAATAAGAATTTTATAGCCATGATACAAAATTTTAAAAAAGCAAGAGTGGTTAGTTATTAAACTAATAATAATTATTTCAGCCCTATCATTTTTACCTCTTCTTTTCCAGTTTCATATGAATCCTTCAAAAGAAATCAGAAGCATGTGCAAAACATCCTCACATAGATATTCATATATACGTATGCATATTATACTCATACACAGAATATTCTGTATCCCTCTCTCCAATTTCTTCTTACATGTAGCAATATACTTTGGATATACTGTTTTGACAATTCTCTACAGCCATCTCACTCTTTTTAATACATACATAATGTTAAATTATATGAAAGTGTTGCCATTTAGTTTAAGAATTCTCCAATTTTACCCTGCATTACAATTAACTAGAGAGTTTGTTAAAACACAGATTGTTGAATCCCATCCCTGGATTTTCTGGTTCAGTGACTCTGTGATGAAGCATTTCATCACAGAGAATTTGTATTTCTAACATGTTCCCAGATGTTGGTAATCCTGCTGGTCCAGGGACCATACTTTGAGAACAACTGGTTTGAAGAACTGGTTCCCTATTCATTATGTTTCTCAATATTTTTCTATTTCTGTGTCTTTCTAAGTCACAATCACTGTGGCTATCTGTCCTCTGAATTTCTACAACTGGTGTTTCCCTCTCATTATTTTATGACTTCTTACAGTATATTTTAGTTAAGTACTTATATTCATTCATCTCTCACATTTTAGGATAAGACCTTCAGGGCAAGTCCAAGTCTGACACATCTTTGATCTCTCAAAATGACTATTATGTCTTGTTCACTGTAGGTGTTCAATGGCATTTCTGGAATAATTCATCTTTCTAAAATAAAGTGTACCAAAAACAAAATGCAGCAACAACAACAACAAAAAAAAAAAAAAAACAAAGAAAGCATTCTCTTATAATACACCTAAACTGAGAAGCATTTATGAATTTAGTAAAACTATAAATACCTATTTTAATCTCAGATCCTCTAATCTGTATATGAAAGATCATCAGTTTTGATAATGCTATTTGTTAACTAAACGCCCATTTTATTTTCATGTATCACAACATCATTTATATAAAACAAATAGTTAAATACAAGTTCTGGAGACATAGGTAAACAGTTGCATTCTAAAAGGATAAAAAGTAAAAAAGAAAAAAAAAGGATAATTTCAATTCACAGATTTGGGAGCAGAATTGAACCAACCACGTTCCAACCTACTACCTGAATTCTGCTTTTACTGGACAATTCCTGAGGAATCTGGAATCATTGATTCTCTGAAATACCAATTATCTAGTAAAGTCAAGATAAGAAATCTCTTCAGAAATTAGACCTACTGCTTATCAAAACTTAAAGTACAGACTGGAATCTTTGAGAGTGATCCAGAAACTAGTATCTTTCTCCTTTCCCATGAGAGTACTGTTACATTCATTTTCTCACCATCTAAGGACCTTCTATATATTCTCTTTGTGTTGCCAAGTTTTAGTTTCCCACAAATATAAGAAGCATTTTAATTTGTGGTAGTTAATCTAACTACAGCATAACAAATTACATCTTCAAGTATTATTGTGTTTGGAACATACCTTCCAGAACTTCAATATTTTGGTTCACTACTAACTGATTTACCTATTAAAATAGAAAATAAATATAGGCAGTGTGAAGTAATCAAATTAAATTTAAAGCACATATGAGCACAGACAAATTCAAATTTACGTTTAAGATATTTAAAGGACTTGATCGATTGTCAACATCTTCAATTTTTTTTTCTGTCATGTTACTGACATATTAGTCTAAAATGAAATTTTTCATGCTTTACCACAGAAAAAGGCAAATGTATATAGCCCATAAAAATATTCTATCTTTCTGTATTATCAATGTACTCAGTATTGTGAACAGCAAAATTTTAAAAAATATCTTACTATAAATATTTTTGAAATTCAGATAGAATTGTATATTCTAGAATTTGAAGTCAGTCTAAGAAATAGAGACTTTTTTTTTAATTTTCAGTATAGCTTTCACTCAAGTTTTAAAATGTTTTGTTCATCAAATTTTCAATTTCAGATTTGACAAATATGTAACCAACATTGAAAATGTAACCAAACTATTATCACAAAGCACATGAATACAATTTCATCCTTAAAGTATTACCAGCCAAAATAAGAAAAGGCAGATAATTACACTCACCTGAAATGCCAACATTTATTTTTCAGAGACAGTACCACAACAAATTAAAAGAGATGACATGAGCAAACAGTAATTCTGTCCCATACTATCTGGTAGATAGCAAAAGACATTTTCCTAATTTAAGTGTCTATCTTTCACATTTGTATATAAGGCTTTTAATACGTATGCACTTGACAAAATATCAATTCTGAAGTGAATTTTAAGTTACATTCTTAAAGTCCAAGCTACCATTTTAAAAAGTGGGAACTTATGTTTGCATAAGCTTTCCAGGAAATATATTGGTAAAATAACAATGTTAGAATATTTCAAAATTTATCTACTACCTCAAACAAAATGAAAATTTAATTCAAATAAAATGTAAAGCTACTGTTAGTGTCTTTTAACCTACAGTCAAAATTTTTCCTAAAGCATAAATTATATCCTGAAACAATCTAAATTCATATTACTATGGGTCAAGTAAATTAAGAAACACATTATCAAACCTGAATCAAATATTCCAGTCCGGGAGGACAGTTACGTATTGACTCTTCTTCTGCCATCCATGGTATCGCAGATTGTAAATATGGAAAAGTCATAATCTGGAGTATATAAATGCTCTAGAGTATGAAAGGTTGAACAGATTTAGCCTTTTATCTTAAAACATTGTGATTACAGACACATATTAACCTGATTAGAGACACGAATCCAACTTCAAATCTGGTTATTCTTTAATGGTGTGCATATTATCCATATACTATTTTTTAATTGTTTTACAACATTTTGTGGTTTCATATACGTGGTCTATCTTTGAACTAAAAGCAAAAAAGATCTTCAGGAATACAGGAAACTCCAATTAATACCAATATAGTAAGCTGAGTGTAAATTGTAAACTGTGAAGACAGATGTGCTTTATTCTCATACACATTCCTATATGATATTAGGAGTTCTGGTAGTGTCGTGTCTAAGGCATTTGACTGCTAACCAGAAGGCTGGTGATTCAAACCCACCAAACTCTTCAGAAGGAAGACTGAGTAATCTACTTCTGCAGATATGTTGTTGTTGTTGTGTGCCGCCGAGTCAGACCTGACTCATAACAACCCCTCCTTGGGTTTCCAAGGCAGTAAGTATCACTACGGAAGTAGATTGCCCAACCTTCTTTCCAAGGAGTGGCTGGTGAGTTTGAACCACCAGCCTCCTGGTTAGCAGTCAAATGCCTTAGGCACCATGCTACCACAGTTCCCTCTGTAGAGATATGGCCCCAGAAACCCAAGGAGGGGTCACTGAGTCAGAATTGACTGACAGCAGTGAGTTGGAATATGATAGTATATTTCAATAAAACTAAATCTTTGTTTCAGAATCATTTCAAAGTGGCTGGATGAACTTCTTTCCTGTAGTTTTAAAGAATATTTTGATTGGTATTAGTCAAAATATGAACAACGTTGTATTGACTTTTGAAAGCCTTAGATGGCAATTCAAAGAGAACAGAGTCTGGTAAAAAGCCATAATTTTTTTTTTCAAAGATGGTGGTCAAGGTTAGACGTCTTTTAAAATTCATATTTTTTGAATTCATATATATATATGTTGTTGTTGTTGTTGTTAAGTGCCGTCGAGTCGGCCCCGACTCATAGCGACCCCTCCTTGG